TTTTTTTTAAGAGGCAGAAACTATTCTAATTCATTTCCAGCAGCAAGAGCTCCATGCTGAAGTATGTTTTGGGTTTATTGCCTAAGGGATCAGAGAATATGCGCCCATGAGATACTTTAAATGTCAAGACTTTGGACACATGGCAGTTATATGTAAGAAGAGTTGCAGGTGTGATTGTTTTGGAGGGGTTCTTGAGTTTGGCAAATGTATCGTTGGAGTTAATTGGAAATGCTGCAACTGCAGAGGGAACCACAGTGTAGCTTTTTGCGGTTATGAAGTGGTGAAAAGGGAGTTTAAAAAATGCTCCATCCATCAGGATCCATCAGGCTGTATGGAGCAAAGAGCAAGCGAAGGCAAGAAAATGGCTGGATCAAAAGAAGGAAATGAAAAAATATAAATAATAGCAAAAGCTGCAGTGCATATGTATAGGATATTTCTGTTAATTATACTCATTCCCCAATGTAATGCCAGAAGTTTGATGGACAATTCATGCCAGGAATTCAAGAAATTTAATGGAGATAAGAAAGAAAATCATATCAGGATTTAATTTGTGTCCAGTAATTCTGGCTTAAATCAAAATTTGATTTTTTTAAAATTTATATGACTATGTGGCAGTCTCTGTAGACACAGAGAAGAGGGATGAAGGGGAAGATGTGTCCCCTTTGTTCAACAATATAGTTAATATAGAACTATGAGTGGGAAGTGAACAGTTGTATATTGTTGTTAAAAGTTGGGATAAAAGGAAAGAATATGTGACAACAATATAACAATGGAATTTTGCAAAGCCAATTGAAAGAAATTTCTGAAAACAAATGATAAGTACTTGGCACAGGTTAATAACGAACTAAATGTGGACACTCTGGACTAAATAAAATAAAGCAAAATGTAATATTAGCAACAAAAAGCTTTATTCCTAAAAGTAAATGAAATGTATGATGGAAATGTATCAGAGTGGATTCAGGGTAGAAAGGAGCACAATGGATCCAGTAGTTTGCCTTGAGCATGATGTAAGGAAGGCTCAAGTGAATCCAGAGACAGTCGCTGCAGAGTTCTTTGATATTAAGAAAGCTTGTGACATGCTATGGAAAGAGGGACTGCTAATCAAGATGTGTTTGCTGAATATTGGAGGAAAGATGTTTAACTGGACCAAGGACTAGATGGAAGAACAATAAAAAAAAGGGTACTGACCTATCAGTTCAATGTATAGTGGGAAATGGGATTCCTCAGGGGAGTGGATTAAGTCCGACCTTGTTTTCTATTATCATAGATGATATATTTTTGAATACCAATGGGGATTCAAATTGTCAGTAGAAAAGACAAAGACCATCTTGACAAGAAACAAAATAAGGGAGTGCAGACTGAAATCATGAATGAACTGGAGAGCGTTGAAAGTTTGCATTTCATAGGAGTGAATTTTGACCAAAAGGAAGGAAATTTCACTTGAAATGATGGAGACTTCTTCTAGTTCTGTTGTCTGTGTTTTACTCACACACTCAGGCTCTGTAGTCGAAGCTACTTCTGATTAGCTCATTAACCATCAAGTTGCTGTCAGGCGCCCTGGTCCTTTACCGCGTTACACCTCATTTAGAAAGCATACTGAAGTGGGCAGACAGTGATGCAGGGAGAGCAACAGTATCAAGCTATTTTAAAGAGGCAGGGCTAAATAAGAGCATCCGAGGGCTCATTGAAATGTTAGTGACATTAAATGACTACAGAATCCTGCAGGAGGCAGTAATGCACCCACCCAGCTGCCATCAAGAACCAAAGAAGAAGAAGAAGAAGACGAAGAAGGAGAAACTCAGGTTCCATCGAAGTAAATCTGATACCCTGATATCCTCAGTTGATCTGTGTGCCCTGATAGCTGGGGTGTGTTTTATTGAGTACAGTGTGTTAAATTATTGCGAAAATTGCTACATGGGCTTAAATATATCTATCTACACAATGACACCATGTTTATTACTCTCGTTGCAGTGATGGGGTCCTTGAGTAAAAAAATCTCAGTTTAAGTATCTTTTACAGATACTTAAGAAAAAGAAAGAAAGAAAAAATATATTAGAACTTTTCTGATGAGGCATTGGTGGGCATGCTTATCAAAACTATGGATGCTTATAAGACTAAAAGGTTATGAGTTTTTATTATAACACTTACTGATTTTCCTAAATCTTGCTTCTGATATATACCTTCCATGTAATAAGTATTAATAAGAGACTAATAAAGTAAAGTGAAAAACTAAACTCAAACAACCACGTAAAAATGAAAAGAAAAAAAAAACTAACTAGAAAACACAAAGCTGTATTAACTCTGGGTCACACACTGTTAGTGATTGCTAACCAAACCTGTTTGGGAATTTCAGACAAGGTTGCACCGCCATCCACTAAAAGGAGCCAACCCATCCATCGTTGCTGCAATTTAGTTACACGGACCCCCAACTAGCTGCAGAGGCCACAGTTGTAACAGTGCACTCTGATGGATTTGAAGTCCTGCATCTCTTGTCTTAATTTCTCAACCACAGGTTTCTCAGTAGCTCCAATGGCCTCTTCTGGTGTTTTGGACTCAGCAGCCCATAAACTAGGCTCATAATCACCTGAAACAAAATTCAGTATACATGGATCCCCTTCCATCATATCACAGCTGTTTTTCTTCTAATGCTGGGTACACTCAAGCAAAAAAACAAAAACAAAACAGATTTGTAGAAGCCACAAGCGGCATGTTGATTCCTGCTGCAGTGAAGCCATCATCGCAGCTGAAAGAAAAATCTAGCCTGGTTGGATACAGTCAAGTCTCCAACCAGGCCCCAATTCAGACCCCTGTTGAATTGGGGCCTGATCTATGAGCTGGATCAGCTTCGCACAGGACAGGAAAGGCTTGTGAAGTCAACCCTTGTTGTCTTCCTCTTGATTCCTATGCATAGGAACCAATAACTGAAAGAAAATAGCAGACTGAATAGAAAAGAAAGGAATAGCCCTTTATTGAACAAAAGAACTCGTCTGATGCTCCACTTTCCAGAGATAAGCCATTCAACACTTAATGTGAAAAAGCTATCTCTTGATTCAGAGGAAGTTAACAGTTTAATCACTAGGACAACATCTATAAAAGAACTGGTGAATGCATGGCGATTGTATTGATTTTTTTCACATTTTTTGACTGGTTGCAACTTGTGGTGACTAAATGGTTTCCCAAAACTTGGAGATGTTATGCCCTCATGGCTACTTTTGACACGACAACAATCTTCCTGATATGGGGGACCACTCTGCACTCACTCCAGAGAATTGTCAAAGGTTTGCAAATACTATCTATCAGATTTATAAATGCAGACAGGTTGCCAACATGTTGCCATCAGTCTGAATGAACCTGTCAGTGAGCACCAAGTGAGGAGATCCGACTCAACTGGCTGTTCTATTCCAATAGAGCAGGAAGGGTGCTGAGAAGAACTGTAATAGATAAATGTGAATTTCTGTATCCAGACAGAGACAGATGTGTGATTTTTAACTGTTTGACACAGTTTATTGCTGTATTATCAGAAACAGATTACATGGAATTGCCAACTTCACCACATTCAGTCTCAGACTGGTAGCAGACTGGCTCTGTCTTATGACAACATTTATGGCAGGTTTTAGCGATGGTGCACTTGACAATGTAATTTTGCAACAAAAACAATACAAGTGAGATAGTTTTGTTATGGGATTAAACAGATGTTGATAGAATTTAACTAAAAAAGAAAGTTGATAAATTGCAATGCTCATCATATTGCATAATGCTGAAAAATAATATAAATTAAAGTTGTAGCATGAGTGACGTATTGTGTGTCTGGTCATTCCCACCTCTACTGCATACCCACCTGTTTTCGGCCACTGTATTTATCAGATTGATGATATTGTGTCCTGCATGTCTTTCGTACAAAACAAACTTCTGTATAAACAACACTGTCACAATAACGAGCCTTTTCTTGAGTTGTGTGACACGCAGGTTTAGCTTAATATAAATTATCTTTGCTGAAACGAGGCTATTACAATTAACAAGAACAACAACACATTGCTTACACATAGTCTCCCCGCAATCTGTCGCTGCGTCAAAGTGTGCTCACTCTGGGCCCGCCTGCTGTTTGCACTGAGTGGAAATCTCCATCTGCCGGTAATGTGTGACGGCCCGTGTATGAGTGCGCGCTCACGCCGTGCAGACGCACTCTGTGGTTTGGCGAGCACACGGGGTTGTATACGCTTTATCATTGCCGCTTCATGCCCAGCAGCATTTCTCTCTCCTCCATCCACGTTTCACCACAGCCGCATAGCGACCTTCAGTGCACCTCGCTGAATGCTGTGTGTTCGTGTTGGTCCGCCGTGGCTGCGATTATCACTGCTGCTGGAGGGAAACGGATCGCCGTGCTGCATCACTGTAGCCCGCTTTGGATGACATTTGGGTGTAGGCTGTTCTGACTGTAATAGCTACCATGGCGAAAACAGTCGCCTTATCCGGCGCAGTCACAGGTAAGCCTGGTGTATGTGGGGTTTGTTTACACTCCTCGTCGTGGATTTAAAGCAGACTCATCCATGACGCAACTCATATTAGCGCTGCTGCTTTATCTGCCTGACGCTGTGCGCTGATGATCCAGCTCCAGCGTCTTTTTTCTCTCTCTCACTTAATAGCCACTGTGGGGATGGCGGTAATGTCTGTAAAGTGCATGCCCGACCTCACTTTCATTGAAAAAAAAAAAGCTAAATCACTAATCCAGAGTAAACGCGAGCAAGAGAAATGCGTTGTTTCTTTGTGTGTTTCTGTCGTTGTGTGAGCTGTGTGGGGGTAGATATCAATGCTAGGGCTTTGATAGGGGCTCCCATGCTGAGCCCATGTGGCTCTTTATTATTATTACCATTATTTTTGTTTTGTTTGCTGTGACGACGCTCAAAAAAGGTCCGAATGGGTGGAGGTACAAGAGAGGCCTGTGGGTGATTTTACAAGAAGTCATTTCTGTTCAGACTTTGTGCAATAAAAATAGCAATAAGCTGAATAATAAGCTTTCACTTTGTTTAGCTTCCACCCTGTGCACCGTGAAAGAGGAGAAATATCCCTGATGCACAATAATCAAATTAACTATCATGACGAAAGATTTGCCCGTGTCACTGTAGTTCACTGCTTCATACAGGAGAAAGAGAAAAGGACTGAATATTTACACCTCTAAATGCTTTTAAAGCAACTTCATCTCCATGAGCTCTTCA